TGTTTTGATTGACTATCACAATAATCTATTGAATTTACTGGTACAAGAAATGGATAATAATGATAATCAAATATTTGGAGCTTTGAAAAATTTAGTTAATAATATAACTTTAAAAGAAGTATCAATTCTACAAATCATTCATGATAATACTGGTGTGATAACATTAACTGAAAATGATTGTTTATCAATTGAACAATTATCCTGTGCAACTCTTATCAATGAAAATAATGAATATTTTCAACGTGTAGATACAAAACTAAATTTTGATTTTATCTATCTTCAATCATATATTATTCGAACATATCTTCTATTTTGTCGTATTAATTATCGACATATAATTCAAAATTATCAATGTCATAGACGACGAATACAAAATATAACAGATAGAGAAATATTAGATCTTGATGAAAAATATTCTATACAATTAACTAATCAACAATTAGAAATTGATTGGAATCATTTAAAAGATATGTATTTAGATAAACTTTATCATGGACATAATCTTCTACGTCAAATAACAATTATTTTAAAAAATTATCAAGATGATTTATCACCACTTACTCTTTATGAATTTATTCAATCATTAGATAATGATAATAATTTATTTGAACAAATTCAACAATATGAAATAAAAGATTTTCAATTATGTTATATTGATCATATTCGACAATTATATGAAAATTCAATTAGTGGTTTTCAACATTTATTTACTGATGTATCACAATTACTTCGAATATCAATTGATTCTCAACTGGATGATGAACTTAATCAAATGTTAACAGCAGCTATAATTAGTATTGATTATAATGATAATATTGATAAAATAAAGTTAACAATACAAACTATAACTGATTTATTAAATGATTTAAGATCAATTGAACATTTTCTATTACGACAGTCAACTCATTCATTAAAAGAAACATGTGAAATTTTAAATATTGATAATAATATTCTTGTTTTTATACCAAATGAAATAAAATGTGAAAATTATGTTGCTGTTAGTATTCATCTTATTCGTATGAGAACAATTCTTCAAGAACGTATTGTTAATATTGAAGAAAAACAAACTAAACAATGGGATGAAAATTTCAATATTAAAACTTTTGAAGAACAACAAAAATACGAAAATCGTTTTCTTAATTATCTCAATGAATCATCATCAATATCAAATGAAACATCACAAACTATAATTGACTCCAATGATAATGATATTTGGCCGGAAATTCTTCATGATATGACTAATTATTCGAATACAGATCATTTACTTGATCGTGATGATTTTGTTCGACAACCACAACATTTAACAATCGATGAACAACATTTAGAATATTCATCTCTATTTGAATTACATATTAAATTTGTTCCATTAACATTATCAACTTTATTCGAGCAAATCCATATAAGATTTCAAGAACCACAGGCACAAGTGGTACCTTTGACTAAAGCACAAAAATTTATTGTCACTCATGCCGATGAAAAAGATCATACTTATTTGTGGAAAAGAGAAAATTTATTTGAAAGATTACGTAATCTTTTTGAAAAAGAAAAATATGATATTAATAAATATGTTGTCGTTGATAAGAATGAATTTTTTGTCGATTTTACAAATACAAATGTTCAATTGTCACAAGAAATATCTCTTGAATATTTTATTATTGAAAAAACTTCATTATTATCAATTCAATTCAATTATCAGAATAATCTATTCCAATATTTTTCTACATCGAAATGTAATATTTCTATAGTTATTGATCGTTTTATCAATGACAATAACATTAAACTTTCATCAAATAATATTTATCTCTGTTTCTTCGATGAACATGGAAAAACCATTGATAATGGAACTATTGCTGATCTAATTAGTCAAATAAATCATCTAGATAATAAAACAATTTCAATTACAGTTACAGAAGAAGATAATCAAACGAATATGCTTTGTGAAGTCACACTACGACCTAAACAAAGTAAGCATACGATTAGATATTTATTCAAGGTTTTTCGCAGAAATTCAATTAAGCACTAGCATACGAACTCTATCGGACTTCGGTGGTGTCGTATATGTTCGTGCAACGTCTTCTAGTCTTTAAGATATTTGAGATATATCTAAAAGGTACTGTGCTCGAACTTTGAGGCCATCAGACATGGCATGAAGTCATTAACTGCTTTTTGACTCGGATCATCCGTCCGATAGCAAACTGACTACGTGGTTGACATACAAAAAAAGGCGCTTGTATATATTATGTAGTTAGTCAGTATATACGAAGAGCTTAAGCGATTAACCATTATATCATCACTGGGAGTTCGCACGGATTTCAGCCGATTTCTTTTTTGAAGTTATACATATTTAATATACGACCGAATCTTGGTCCTTTAATTATGCATTAACGAAGGGTAATAGATTACGTGCATTATATCGATAAATCAATTTCAGTTGTCGTTGATGCAACACAATGACCAGAAGTGCTCATGAAAGCTACTTTTGCGATATATATATTTTTAACCATCATAAAGAAATAAAAATAATAAAAGATTGAAGTAAAATAAATCAAAATCATTTACTTTCCTGTTTGTTGTTCTTATGGTAAAGTTTGTTATATACTTTTCACAGGTTTGTTAAACTAATCATAATTTTGTACATTATTACTGTTTTTTCAACCCGGGTCCATAGAAACCCAAGGTGGGAATTAGGCTACTAGTTCATAGTTGGCGATAGAAAACTTAAGCGAGAAAAAATTTAGTTAAACCAGCCTTTTGTTCGAGACTACAGCTAGTAGTAGTTGTAGGAAAATTATCGCACAATCGAAGCAGCCTATATCGCAAGCAATCAGAACAGCAGAGTATTCTTCTATGCTAGTTTTCAGAATTACTCGTAGAAGATATCATATAAAACATATGTTTTTGCATTTTATTCTTTAATTTATTCTTATTCATTTAATATAGATACAGAACAAATAAGTTTATTTCATCCAACAACAAAATGGCAGCAAATTGATCAATGGTTAAAACATTTTACTCAATTGATTGATTCTCCTGTCAACAAAATTGCTTTTTTTGATAAACAACAAAAAACAATTCTTGATGAAAATCAATCAATATCTTTAACTATAGAGCAAACAAAATCGACAATTATCGATGGCATAACTCGTGATAGTACAACTAATGTAATTTTCTCCTATGAAAATAATAGTGTATTAGTATGTGCATTAAAATCAATGAGAATATGTCATGTATTAAACAATGAACGTCTTCTAAGAGAATTAAATCTTATTGATATATCTCCAAACGATTGTGTACTAGTTTTGGGAGAAACTAATGAACGAATTTTATCTCAAGATGATATTCGACAATCTATTGGAAATTATTTAAATACTGATAATGAAGCAATTCATTTTCGAATATCAATTGCAATTCAAATATTAAAATATGATAATCAACAATTATTACAAATACTTTTACCAAATAGAAATACAACTATTGAACATATTTTTCAATTGACACAAGCTTCAATTGATGTTTATAAATATTTAGCTTCGAATTATTCCAAGAAAATTCTTGATTTTAGTGAAAAACTTTCGAATTTAATTGATACAAAATTTATTCTGGTCAAAGAACATGAAACATGTCTTGTATTAATCAAAAAACCTAAAGTTAATCAATTAATTGATATTAATGATGATGAACAAAATGAGATTCATCAACGATTTACTATTTTTGCTACAATTGGTGATATTTACAGAGAAAATCAAATTGATATTGATCATCAAAATCTTTTATATTTGGAAGATTTTGTTCCATCAACAGAAACTCAGTTAATTTGTTTTTCATCAGTAACACCTATTCGATTTACTTTAATTGATGGTAATTTGCCAATTACAGTGTCCATTATTAATAGTCAAGATAATCAATTAGTTAAATTTCATTGTGCATTGACAATCACAGTCAAACGTTTGTCTGCCATTGCTTGTCAATTGTTTAGTTTAAATAATAATTATTATCGATTAATGCATATGGATTGTTTACTTGATGATGACGAGGTTTCTTTAGATGATATTGATTCAACGATGAGTCAAATTCAATTTCAATTAATTTCAATAGCATCAAAAAATAGCTCCGTCAGATATGATAATCAAACAATTGTCTTGCCTTGTTCTGACGAAACTTCAGCAGCAACAATCATTGAAGAAACATTACAAAAATTGCGTATTTCATATCAAAATTGTCATATGTATGAATTGATTGCTTTGGCTGACGATCGAATAACAATTGAGTCGGATATGTCTATTGAAGATATTTATGAATTATTTCCTGCTCGTCCAACAACAATACCATTTGAATTAATAAAGAAAAACGAATAAAAACTGTATAGTTCCTCTTTGTAACTATTTTGACTTCGTTTATCAATAATTTTTCTTGTTCACAGAGTTTTTCAGTTTGTACTTTGTTTTTTGTAAACAAGATAATTAAATTTACTTTATACCTATTGACTGTTGTCATTAAAACAAATATTTTCTTTACAGTTGAGATGGAAAGAAAGATGCAAACAAACTATCATTGATAATCGTTTTTTTTAGGATATATAAATGAAGGCACATAAAACACCTGCACTCTTACTCGTGTAGGTCTATGAATCGTGAAACCCGTAGCCACAAACGCACTCACACTGGGACATTCTCGAAAAGTCGAGAAATTTCTCGTAATTATTTTTGCTGGAAATTAGAAATTAATTCAACTACACTCACTATATTTGTGAACAGAAATGGCACGCGCTATTGGTATTGTTTTAGGTACTACATACTCTGTATGTAATTAATTTTGTTGTTTTTTTGTTATTATTGGTGTGTACTCATACAAATTATTTATTCTAATGTGTTGATATTTTCCAACATGGTAAAGTTGAAATTATTGCTAATGATCAAGGTAATCGGACAACACCGTCCTATATATAGTATTCACTGAGAGTAAATGCTTTAATTGGTGACACTGCTAAAAATTAAGTGGCTATGAATCCAAATACTACAATATTTGATGTTAAACGACTTATTGATTGTAAATATGATGATCCAATAGTTCAACCTGATATGAAACATCGGCCATTTAAAATAGTTAATGAAAGTCGTAAACCAAAAATTCAAGTTGAATATAAAAATGAAGTTAAATCATTTATACCTGAAGAAATCTCATCAATGGTTTTAATAAAAATGAAAGAAATAGCTGAAGCATATCTTGTTTAAAAAAATTTCAGAAGCTGTTATTACTGTATCAGCTTATTTCAATGATGCACAACGACAAGTAACAAAAGATGCTGATATTATTGCTGATCTTAATGTTTTACGTATCATTAATGAACCAACAGCAACTGCTATTGCTTAGGGTTTAGATAAGAAAGCTTCAGATGAACGTAATATTCTTATATTTGATTTGAGTGGTGGTATATTTGATGTATCAATACTTAAAATTGAAGATGATATATTTAAAGTGAAATCAACAGCTGGTGATACACATTTAGGTAGTGAAGATTTTGATAATCGAATGTTAACACATTTTATTCAAGAATTTCAACGAAAAAATAATAAAGATTTATCATAAAATAAACGTGATTTACATCGTTTACGTACAATTTGTGAGCATGCTAAAGTAGGTTTTAAATTTTATTTTATTCTTAAAAAATTCATTTTATTTTATTTATATGGCGTACATTATCATCATCATCAGCAGCAGAAGTGTCAATTGAAATTGATTCACTTCATGAAGGTATTGATTTCTATTCAAAAATAACACGTGTTCGATTTGAAGATCTATTTTGTTCAACACTTGAATTAGTTGAAAAAGCTTTACATGATGCTAAAATGAATAAAGCAAGTATTCATGAAATTATACTTGTTGGTGATTCAACGCGTACATATCAAAAGTACAAAAATTACTTTAAGATTTTTTTTTTTAATGGAAAGAAACTGAATAAATCAATTAATTCTGATGAAGCTGTTGCTTATGGTGCAGCTGTACAAGCTGCTATTTAAACTAGTGATAAATCAGAAGTAGTTAAAAATGTACTTTTACTTGATGTTACACCACTTTCATTGGGAAGAATGAAAAAAAAATTGGTTTATTTTGTCTTTGTTAATAATTTGTTTTTTTTTCTCCTTAATAGGGTATTGAAACTGTTGGTGGTGTTATAACAGTTTTAATTAAACGCAATACAACCATTTCAACTAAACAAACGCAAATATTTACCACCTATTCGGATAACTAACCCGATGTCTACATTAAAATCTTTGAAGGTGAATGTTCAATGACATGTGACAATCATTTACTTGATAATTTTGAACTTTCGGTTATTCCACCAGCTCCTCGAGGTGTACCACAAATTGACGTTACATTTGATATTGATGCAAATGATATTTTAAATGTTTCAGCTATTGCTGAGCCAACTAGTCGTAAAAATAAAAATTGCACTTACAAGTGATGAAGCTCATTTATTGAAACGTGAAATTGAACGAATGATTGCTAATGTTGAGAAATATAAGAAAGAAGATGAAATACAACGTGAACGTATATCAATTAAAAATTCACTTGAATCATACTGCTTTAATATGAAAACAAGTATTAATTATGATAAGATTTCATCAGATGATTAAACTAAAATAACGGAAACAATTGAATCAGTACTTAAATGAATGGAATCAAATCAATGAGTGGAAAAAGAAGAATTTGAACATAAACTTAAAGAAGTTGAAAAGTTTGTTCACCGATCATGGCTAAATTTTATAGTAAGTAATTACACATATGGGGGTGCCCAGTCTGGCCGAAAGCCCTCCTTTCTTTTTTATTGTACAACTACTATTTATTATCAGAAACATGATTTTTTTGCCAATTATACTATTGATAAAGAGCTGAGGATTTGGTATTACTTCGGTCATACATTCCCTTCAAAATTGAAGAATCAGATAGCTTCGTGAGATCTTTTTCTGTAATATACGTTTATCACATTCACTCATTGAAATTCGTACTATTTATCTAAAACAGCAACATATACACCTGACCAACGTTTATTAGGAACAATTGACTAGAAACTGCAGCTAACATATCATAGTCAAGTATTACGAATAGGATGTTTACTCAACTTAAGATTACATAAAGCAGCAACCACATGTGTAATTTTAGTAATTTTCTCAAAATCATTGTATGGTTCTTTGTAAGTACTTCCTAAAACGGCATAATTTTTAACACGTTGGTTGATATTTTCAATCGCTGCTCTTGCACTGGAAATAGATCGATTAAAATCTTTATCTTCAGCTGTTGATTCACCACCACGGGGTTTCTTTCTTGGAGTGATAACATATTGTTCACCAATATAACCTTTATCAGCAATAATTTGTACATTTTCTTTTGTATGTTCTAAGAATCTTGATTCTCTTAAGATAGTAATATCAAGTACATCACCGTGGTAACATTTGGATGCATGAACTATTCGATGATTAAAATCGCAAGTTATCTGTATTTTAAATGCATAGTTTGTTGGACTTTTTGCATGATAGTATGCCTTACGTTGTTCAGAATCTTCTGATTGATAAATTGCAATAAAAGTCGAATCAATAATTAATTTGTGATGTTCTTCTGTTCATGTGCTATACTTTCATCATCCATATCATCAGATAATAGAATCAATTTCGGGTATACGGATGAATATAAAATATCTATCACCGCAGATAAAAAATAATGCACTGTTGATCTACCAAAATTTAACTCGGTTGCTATATAGCGTTCAGAGTGATAATGCTTCAAATACCATAATGTAATTGAAAGGAGATTGATCGGAGATCAATATGGTATATTTGTATCATTTGTTTGTTGTTGTTTTCTGTTGGTATAATATTCTGCAAGTGATTGTTCACACATACTGTATAACAGTTGTACTTCATGCACCGATGTCATGTCCTTTATGCTGTATACATGAACCATTGCTACGACTCCATTCTGACCATGGACGTTGCTCTAGAGTACAAAATCAGTAAAAAAAATCATAATACTTCGCTATTGTGTATGTAAGATAAGCTACACAATAGAATCGAAGTTCAGATGCTAACTACAAACACAGATGTTGCTTGTCATCATATAAAATTTGAAGTTCTTATTCAAGCTCTGGTGTACAATAATCACATCTTTTAAGATGCCGATGATAATTACTGTACAAACCAGATTTTTCAAAAGCAACGCATGTTCAGACTAACATTGATTTGCAATTATTGCAATATTTATGACGATCGTTCATAGTAATTTGACAATCAGGACAATCCTATTTGATTTGCGATGAAGATGACATGATGGTGGTATACAGGCAAACAGATAGTTTTGGTGAAAATGTGTTAAAGTAAAATTACGAGCAGAAATAGAGAAAGAAAGTCGAAAGTGATATAGAGATGATTCAATCGAAACAAGACTGAATATTGGATGACAAAAGATACTTTTTCGTCGGCCTCTCTAGTTGTGATTTACACATATTGAAGATGTCTATATATAACTGTAATTGTTATGGTCACTGATTATTACTGATGCATCGACCCCAGATGCACTGTTGATGGTTAAGTATTTATATTACAAAATTCATGTAATCAGTAAACGTGAAAGTGTATTCTACCAAAACTTTTTATGATAATATCTGATTATCGTAGTTTCGAACAAGAAATATGATCCAAACAATAGCAGATCCTCAGCTCTTTATCAATACTAAAATTCGTAAAAAAATCATATGTTTCTCATAATAAATAGTAGCTGTACAATAAAAAAGAGATTGGGCTTCCAGCCAGACTGAGCACCCCCATATATATTTAGGACAATCCAAAAGTAGTGGCACTATTACTTTATTTCCGTAGGAAAACCGTGAAAAAATTTTCTTTTTTTGATGTGGTGATAAAAAAAACTGTGCTCCATTTTTCTGTGCTATTTGATCACTCTTTAACTAGCATCAACACACCAAGATAAAGTGTGTCGTGACTTGTGACACAATACATATTATATTAAAGTACGACACAAGCTGCTCATTACGATACATTTTGTATAACACATGCGACACATTTTGAAAGCGTGGTTCGAACCTATGATCCGGCGCATTTTTCATTTTTTTTCTGTAAAAGCGTACCATGACACTTTTTCAATTTCATTTCATTAAATCGTTCCACTTCTGAAAACTCAAGCGCGGCAGATCTTGTGACCTGTTTAGCCTTGAGTTGGCTCGATCTAAAATAGAGCAGTATTTTGACTATCAGAATAAATGGAAAGAAAAATTTCATAAAGCTTTATATAACTACGCAATTAAGGTATCTCCACCACACACTAATTTTGGTATGACTTAGATAATTTATGTACATTTTCATATAAATCATTCATTATACCAATAAATAAAGATTGCTCTTCAAATTGATGAATTATTATCTTCTATGGAAAGTTTTTTTTATATTTCTTCTAGATTCTTTTGTATAGAAAAATTAATTGTAAAAAT